GTTTTTCTAGAATGGGATAAAGTTACAGGAAAAAGAAACTTATTCTCCAAATGTCAAACTAAGAAAAGATCACTTTTAAATAGAAAAAAAAATATCAATGTGACAAACAATTTTACTAATTAGTATAAACTAAGAAAAACAATGGGATGAATCATAAAATATAGACTACCAGCAAGACTCTTCTCATTCAGATAGAGAAGCATTTTTTCGCTACTAATTAAAAATGATTGATTAGGAAATTGCAGTTTGCCTAAGTATACAAATGTTTACATTATGTTCATTACACTACATCGTTCTGGTCTTGGTGAAAAACGTCGAAAAGGAAAACGTAGAAAGAGGAAAATATAGAAAAAAAAATGAAAAGAGGAAAATATCGAAAAGGAAAATACAATAGAGGGTGGGTGTGGGTGTACTTCGTTTTTTAACTCACACCCACACCCTCCCACACCCCATACCCACACCCACACCCCCACACCCACCCACACCCACACCCCACACCCAATCAAGACGATCAAGTCTTGCAGCGTATCCTTGGATGAGATTTTCATTTTTTAATTTAAATAAAAAACAACAACTTATTCTATATAAGTTTTTTTTCAGTATATATATATGTATATATTTACTTTAATTAACATTTTAAATAATCGATTTATATAATAAGATGTTTCTCTTGTTTTTGTTATTATAATTGATTTAATATATATTCTTCGAGCTGAAAATCCTCACTCAAAGATCTCTTCAAACTGCTAATCAGTACGGATTATTTATATTCGAAAAGCTTTGATCAAAAGGTATAAGAAAACCTCATCTTTTCAAACAAAATATCTCCTGATCGAAATACTCTAATTCAACAACTTTTATTTATATGTGTATTGCTCATTGTGATTTTATTGAAAGTCTACCACAAATACGATAGGTTTCCACATTTTAGAGCCTGTATACATTTTCAGTTAAAGTTCAGCAGAGTTCAAATGACGAATGTTTTCATAATATGCACGGTTCATCGGAGATCCAGAAATGTTAATGGAAACCTATAGGAATTTTATCAATAACTAATGCTGGAAATTTTAACCAGTTCGGCAGTGGAATATCATCGAATATTCATTAGAATCTATCTATCAGATCCATTAGTGATTCTATAACCCAAATCCTCATTGAATGCTAACGGATGATCAAATCTCACGAGATCCCATCAGATTCATACACTTCGGACTGTTCTCTCGTAAGAAATGAATATATTGACAATTACGATTGACTTTTATGTATAAGAGAATTTATTTCATAAATATATACTTTCGTAATAATGAATTTTTTCGATGTTGAAATTAATATAAACAATGAACAATAGAAAAATCTATTACGCGCTACAATAATATAAATTATTGTTTTCTTTTTTTTCCTTGTTTCATGTTATCAAATATAAATATTTCAATTTTACAATTATGTATTTTAATTCTTAGTTGGTATTTTATAAGTTCATTAGCAAATATAATTGGTAAACAACTTTTAACTATATTTCCATATCCATTTAGTGTTACACTTACTCAACTTTTTCATGGATGGATTTATTCTATACCATTACTTCGTTTAATTGGTATACAACAATCAACTGATGTACATTCAACACGTATTTATTATATAACTATTTTGGTTCCTTTAGCAATAGGAAAATTACTTTCACAATTAACTTCACAAATAAGTTTACGATTAGTAACAATTTCATATACACATACAATTAAAGCATTAATGCCTTTATTTACAGTTATATTATCGCGAATTATACTTGATGAAGAACAATCGATAACGGTTAGTCAAAAACATAAAAAGCGGAGATCTGCATCCGCTCGTCTCTCTGCCAGGTGGTTGCACCATTATCATGTCAACTGTTACACTATTGAGAGTCGTGAAATTTATAAATTATATCATAACTAATTTTAATTAAAAGTAATCCTGATAGTATATTACACCAACTCAAAATTCGCCTTAAACCTAAATTTATGCAAATTTAATTACAAAAAAAATGTTAAAATTGAAACAAACAACCTATAAGTATTTACGTATGTCTGATTATGATCTATCTAATTAAATATTTTTTTTTTCGTCGTGTGTTTAACTTTACATTGTTGTTCATATTAGAATGGTCAAAAAATGAAATCCTATTTTTCAAAAAATATTATACCGTCACAAATATGATAAAAAAATTTCTTCAATAATCATCAGGTACAATCGCCTGGTGACTGTGCCATTCGCCAAAAAAGACTTTTTGGCGACGATTCCCTTCATCGCTAGTTAGAGACTGTCACTGTTCTTTGCGCCGCACACCTCTATATCGAGTATAGCGCTATTTGTTTGTTAAAGATTTAGTTTATGATTAATGAAAAAGTTATCGATCCTGTTTTCTGATGTTCTGGTTTAGTTTATCGTCAAATCAAATCTAAAGAGAAAACAGCTGACTTTAGAACTGCACAGGACTTAATAAACTGGATTAATTCGAATTTATGGATTCCAAAAATTACGAACAAGATTCTTGTAGATCTTCATTTTTTTTGTTTTATTGTTTTGAAATAATATTCTTTTTCTCCTGTGAGCATTTCTCAAAGTCTCACAATCATCTGTATCTACTATGTTCTTTTCTAATGTTTGTAAATTATCATGAAACAATACTATTTATTTTTATTTAATAAACATAAAAACAATTTCGATCAAACGATTCATTCAAATGTAACAAATAAACAAAAAAAATTTCTTCGATATTTGTTTTAGATTTATCTTTCATTATTACCTATTATCATCGGTGTTATTATAACTTCCATAAGTGAATTATCATTTAATATTATTGGTTTAATTAGTGCATTATTCAGTACATGTTTACTTGCTCTTCAAAATATTTATTCCAAAAAAACACTTAAATATATTAATATACATCATTTAGCACTTCTATCTGTTCTCTCTAAATTATCTTGGTGTCTTCTTATACCATTTTGGTTTTTACTTGATGGATCACATATGGATATTAGACGAGAAGTAAGATGATGGAAAAAAAAAGTTTAACAACAACGTATTTTTGGTTTTTTTTTTACTATAATTTTAAGCACGTAATTCAAATTCAGATAGTAATTTTAATAGTCAATGAATTAATTTCTAGAAATATCAAAAAATTTTTGATTCTATTTTCAATACAAAACATAGAGAATATCAGGCAGATTAGTGAAAATCTCATATAAGTTGTACGAGAGAATATGCTTAATTTTCAATTCAACTGATAATTGATGTTTTGAGATGTAGTATGACATACTTGTAGTTAAAAATAACATTTCCGAGCTATATGAACGAATGAAACAGTAGGGCGTATAATGATATTGAGTACATTCAAGATCCTTAAACTTACTGACCTTGTGAAAATCATAGAAAAATTAAATTGTCATTATCATAAATATCCATGCAATTCTTCTACTAATGCTACACATGCAATCATTATTAAATGTCATGGTATTCATAAAACAAAATGAGGAAGAAGAATACCCTACCTTTCAGTTATCTCGTGGTATTGGATGGAGTTCGGTGACAGTTTCGAAAGCTCGATATTTTTCTTTCAACCATTACCGACTGCAGCTCTAGACAGAAGTCCAGTCTGACTAAGAGTTTTTCCGCTCAATCACTTGAGCTCTTCACAAATCCTAACTAACGACATACAAGTCACAATATTATCGTACGGATGATCCGACGACAAACAACTCAACCATGGCTCTACTACAAATTGCAAATGTAATCCAATTAATATATCATTCTAGGAGAATTCCATGAAAATCTCGTTGATTGTGCTTATCATGCACAATACTCTAAAATTATAAATATATTATTGTTAAACTTTATGTTTTTTGTTTTGTTCATTAGCTTAGATTATCATTGTTATAAAAAATTTTATTATTTTCTTATAATTTATTATAGTTAACACCAACAGTTATATATTTTATATTAATTGATGGTTTATGTAATTTTATTTATAATGTTCTTGCATTTACAATGATTTCATATTTATCATCACTTAGTTATGCTATAGCAAGTAGTACAAAACGTATTACAATTATTATTATGTCTATTATTATTTTTCATAATCGCATAACGTATATGAATTTATTTGGTATTAGTTTAACTTTAATTGGTGTTATTTTATATAATAAAATGAAATACAATGAAAAGAAACAACAATTATTATCATTAAATACAATATCAATACAACCGATATTATTATCGTCATTACCATAAAAATGAAAAAACAAAAAAAAAAAAGAAATATTATATAAATCATTCTTGTTGTTGCCAACGATCATTCCATATTCGTCTTTGTACTGATGACGAACGATGACTAGCTGATATAGGACGAGAACGTATACTGTTGTTATTATTATTATTTAATGAATTTGTAGCTGATGATGGTCGACTTTGTGAACGATGAGATCTTTCAGATATAGAAAAAGTAGATGATAGATTAGTTGTACTTGAAGGTCGTTTAGGAAGACGAAAATGTGATTCAATTGGATATATATTAAGACTCATAAGACGATCATAATTCGATAATAATTCATCTCGTTTTAAACTACGAGTTGGACGAATATTTTGAAGACGTTCTAAGATTTTCTATGAAAATAAAACAAAAAAAAAACATTGTTTTTTTTTTAATATTTTCAAAAATTTACTAAATTTTCACGTTCAATTCTTTGTTGTTGTTGTTGACGATTGATTGCCGATGAAGTTAAACGAAATCGATGATCTTTTGTATAATTATGAATATATGGTTTTTGATAATAATTATTATTTAGAATTTGCATATCTTTTTTAATTGATCGTTGTTGATCTGAATATACAGGTGAAGGTAGACCAGTTGTAGGAGTTGATAAACCAAATAGAACATTTTTCATTGATTCAAGATGAAATGGATGTTGTTGTTGTTGTTCATTGATTGACGATACATCAGTAATATCATGATCAGAAATATTTGAAGAATTTGAATTTTGAGTTTGTTGACGATAAATCGGTGGTTTTGAAGTTACTATATGAATATTTGAGATTAATGATGGCGGTGATATTGTATTATTATTATTATCATCATCATCATAAAAAGAATCTGTAGATTGCGTTAATTTTTCATTCATTTGATTGATCATCTAGACGAATAATGAAACTTTTTAATCGTTCATCGTCGTATCAAATAAAATATGATGGGTGTGTTATATTAGTAATTAATCAAAAACAGTTATATACACACTTAAATTGTACTCTCCTTCAAACTTACGTATTTCTATTCGTTCTGCCTGAACGGTTCTTTTTTCCTCTCTATTTCTTGTATCTCGTTATAAGTATATGTTCTCTATCTCTTCTTCTTCTCTTTTTTTTCTGTCAGTGTATATGTGTGAAACAAACGACTAATTGATGTATTTACTTGTGTGAGAAAGGAGGTCATTTTATATCAAAAAAAAAAAAAAAATAGTTATGGGTATTGGTAATTCTCAAACATCGCAAAGACATCAATCATCTGGACATGGTACTTCAAATGGAAAGAAGCAGAAAAAACGTTTCTTTCGTCGAAATAAATCAAGTCCAACAAGAGACTTTAATTTACCTAGTGTTATACAACCAGCTTCTTATCAACGTTTATTTGGTACTCGTCGTGGTACGAGACCAATACCTATTTATCCACCATTAGAACAACCATCACCATCATTCTTACCAATATCTTACAATAATTTTCGAGTTTCTTCATACATGCCACCTCAACCTATGATGATGCTACCACCACGAGTAACACCATTCATGCCTGCATCATATATGGCTCCTGCTCCTTCTCCTCAACCTCCGATATCAATACCATACATACAACAACCACAAATACAACCTATCTATAATAATATGGCAGCAGCTCCAACTTCCATGCCAATGGGTATTTCCGCAGGAGCTATACTTAATCCTCCACTATATCCAGGAGCACCTGCAAGATTTATTACAGATTGGACAGGTGGTGGTGCAATATCACCTGGTTTTCTTGGGCCTCCTATTTAATTTCTCTTTTTTTTCTTCTTCTTCTTCTTTTTATGTAATTTTCTTTTTTTATAGCATTACATGTATTACATCCATACGCCTACTAAATTATTTGTTGATTTTTTTATATTTGTTCGACTGTCTTCTCCTACACTGATCGCCAACATTGTCGTCTTTATATCGAACATTAACACAAGATGTCTATGAGATATATGTTCATTATTTACGCCGCATTACATGGACAACTAAACGAATGTAATCATTTTCGTTTATGATTGATGATTTTGTATATTGATAATTTAATATTATAGACGATGTCCAACATGAAATGGCGATTACCGATGAGGAGAAGAAGACAAAGAAGAAAAAAAAAATCTAATGTGTATGTGTCTATACGTTCGTTTTTTTTGCTTTTCTAGATTGATATCTGTTTGTTTTGATATGTTAATGATTGACATAAAATAAAAAAGATGATAGAATAGATTAAAATAATGAAAGTAATAAATTGTATCGTATATATATGAAGAAAAAGACATTAGAAGAAAAAAATGAATATAAATTATCATAAATGAATCATTTATTTATCAAAATTGAAGTTTTTTTTTTTTTTTTTTAATTTAAATTTACTTTACTATTAAATAAGAAAATCTTTTCTCTAAAATGAATTTATATATTTACCTTAAATTTTAAATATTTTACATCAATATGAAGATATTTGAATCTTTAAAGAAATTCGGCCATGATAGACATAAGAATTGATTCTCAAGCGATATCCCCTTTCTTGAAACATATATGAAGTCCTAGGAAAAATGAGATATTTTATAATTATCAATAGATGTCACTAACTTATAGTATATAAATCAAAGCTAATAGATATCGATTAGTAATTATTTATTCGATATTCATAAGAAAATTTTGACTCATTTCGGTTTCGCTTGATTTAGTCTTTAAATGAAGGAGAAATAGTGCATGTATTTATTATTGTAAGTTTATTATATTCGTTTATTTACATAAAAAAAAAAAAAAAAAACTATAAACTTATGTCGCATAATCATCTTAATGAAGAAGTTCAAGGTACTGGAATATCCAATAATGATCATACTATTCGTCGTCGTAATTCAAATAATCATTTAAATTTAAAACCAACCACTGTTATTGATCATATAAAAACAAAAGTCAAACGAAGACGAGCATCACATAATAATACAACAGAAACATTCGATTCACCAAAAGATAATAATACTAAACAAATAAATCGAGAACAGAATAAATCAGAACCAAAATTTACAACGATAACAGTTCATTCTCAACCGAATCGTTCATCACAAACATTATTGAATCAATATTCAGATGATAATGATGAAAACAAACTTAATGAAGCAAATAGTATGTTTTGTAAATGATTAAATAAATATCTAAAAGATGTCAATTTTCTTTTAGATTTATCTATTGAAAAAAATGAAAATAATATCAATGTCTATGATCAAATAGATAAAGATGCAAATACGAATGAAACTGTTCAATGGCAAATAGATCAGATAGAAGTTGACATTGATAATCATCAACGTAAAACACGAACAAAGTCTTATCCTGAATCAATCAGTCAATCTAATACAAAAAAACGACATCAAACAGCACGATGCAAGGTAAAAGCTATACATAATTAAAAAAATAACATATTTTATTATTTTGCATTCCTATGAATGAGTCATCAATGAATTGATAATACGCATATCGTGTATAAAAAGTTCATAGAACATAAAACATGTAAGAATAATTAATATAATTATTAGTAAAATTATGCTTCGAGTGTCTTCTATTGATTTATATATGTTCAATGAGAATTATCTTTAATTATTATTCGGACAATAACTAAAGGATGATCTAAAGCTTCTCAATCCTATAATGTCTGTATTAAAAGAGTATAGCTCAAAACTGTTCTCGTGATTCATATCAGAAAGACATGAAAGAATACAACGATATACAAAATTTGAAATTTCTTCATATTATTCTAAATCTATTTAAGCATTATTAATAAAATACTAATGCTCCCTATATACTTATAATTAAGAATAGAAAAATAGAAAATTTTATTTATTTGTAGAATTCTCAAATTCATGATGAGGATCTCAATAATATCTTTAGTGATTTACCATCAAACGAACAATTAATTGTTGGTATGTATGTTGTAATTAAAATTTAAAAGTTTAATTTTTGATTAGACGAAAATGAAATTTCTTTTCAAATGAACAGAAAAAGACAAAGAAAAATAAAAAATTAAAGTAGCAAGAAATTTTTTTTTAATTTACACATGCCACCAGACACTCCAGATTATGAGTGTACATGTACAAATCAAATTCAAAAACTATGCTAGATTTACTGTATCTCTACTTCGGACTCACATCCATACCTTTTGTTATCAAGATTTTACCTTTTATCTATTCATCGAAAAGCATTTCAATTTTGACTACAACATATATTTGTTAAATTTCTTAGTTGATCTATTTATTATAAATTTTAGCTTATCCATGTGCCTGGCGAAAAGATATTCTTATGCATGGACGAATGTTTCTTTCAGTTAATTATATATGTTTTCATACATGTTTTCTTAAATGGAAAGAAAGTGTATGTAAAATTTTTATTCTTTTTTTTTTCATTAAAATTTTTATTTTGTTTTTTTAAAGTTATGTATTGCTTATAAAGATATTGTAAGTGTTAAAAGAGCAAAATCAGCTAAAGTACTTCCAAATGCAATTAAATTACGAACAAAAAATCATGAACAATATTATTTTGCTAGTTATATACCAAGAGAACGAATTTTTATTACCGTATTTCGTCTATGGCAAAATGCTTTACTTGAACAAGTAATATTGTATTTGTTGTTTTTTTTATTTTTGTTTTATGTTATTGATTTTTTTTAGCCATTAAATTATGAACAATTACGAGCCATTATTTTTGCTGATAAAACTAATATTGATGCATCAAGTGAAGATAGTGAAGGATCTATTGAAGGAGAACGTAATCGTGAATATCCTCCCAATGTAAGTTTTCTGTATTCATACGAGAAAAAAAAATTTCTTAACATCCTCCTTTACATATCTTAGCAATTGAGGCCAAAGATTATTGAGTATGAATCCTGTCATAACAGTTGATAATAACAAGACTTAGTTTGCCGTGAAATTCAAATGCTTGGAATGGGTGTTCTAAATAGCGCTTTTGTGTAGATAAATGTTTATGTAATACATACAGGGGAAAGCGACGTATTCTGGTACTGCCAGACTACACGAAGTCCAATGGAGTACAGAGTCCAACGAGAATAAACCAAGAGAGAAACGGCGTAGTCCAGTACTTCCCTACTGTCTGGACTTCTTGTACTCCTTGTACTCTCGCAATCCAGGAGTATGTCGTTTCTTCCCTTGAATAAATATCAAGGATGATATTTGTTCGTCAAAATTGAACAGTCATTTTCAAACTTACGCTTCGAATGTAGCAAAAATATTTAATTATTAGATTTTGAGAGCATTTGTAGTGATGTGTAGACATTATTGTATCCATGTGATTTATCAACAGCCTATACGAAATAATACAAAGTAACTATTTTCTAAACTTATGAGGGAACATATCCTACTATCGGACTTCATATTTTGGTTGCAAGTAATTCTCTATAAGATGAAGAAGAACTTAAAAGGAAACGGGCTCATGGCCGTTTTAATGGAGTTTTTTTTACTGAGAGTAAGACATTTCCGAAAAATACAAAGCGAAAAGTTTTGGTTTGAAATTCTGGCTAATAGGTAGATTTAAATATCCATTAGATAGTTTTGCAAGTTTCAATAAAAACGAACATGTTTTTCTCGAAATGTTTGATTTGCAAGTAAATTCAATTACTACATCCTCCTTTGGTAAACTACTGCTTTTTTTCTGCCTATAGACAAACATTCATTAAAAACTGCCATAATTTTTCATCACTAAGTCATGTATCCGAACTTTTGATTAGATTATCAATAAAAATTATATTTCTAAAAACTTCTCATATAATTCAAACACAACCCAAACCGCCGGTAGATCATTTAGTACGATGAGCACAATACTGGCAATAATTCGATAGATCAACAATTAGCTACCTCCGACCACCGTTATTTTGACATAGTATACGGACAATTGTTACGACTGAAATGAATCTGTTTATATCAAAAAGGAAAACATCTATTCTTACTCGTACAACATCTATATTTAGAATTTGTAACTAATCTATTAAGAATAATTCATTTATTTTTATAGCGTCGTCGTCATCCTGAATCAGTACCTTCGATTCTTCCAAGTCATTCAAAAAAATCACCTGCAGCATCGACAGCATCAGATCAGGAAATAATTTCATCATCACCAAGTAATTTAATTATATTAAATTGAAATAAAACTAAAAAAAAAAAGAAAAGAAAACTACAATTATTTATTTCATATTTAGATGAACAACAAATAAATTATCCATCAATATGTCCATGTGAAACTCATTTAGCAAAAACATTTGGAGAACAGTTACTTTCATTTGATATTGATACGCTTTTTGATTTAACATTTGGTGATAATTCATTTATACGTGCTTATCGTGATTCACAAAAATTACTAGGTAAATATTATATTTTCTAAAATTTACATTATGTCTTTCGATGAAAAATACAATGAGTATAACTTTTATGTCGAAGTTTTGCATCTTCTCCTTCTATAGCAAGAAACGAGACCAACCATCATAGGGTATGTTTCTCTATTAATGGAAAGAAGGTCAACAATTGTCTATAGAAAAGTCTAAAGGAAAAATATCGAAACTAGAAACATATTGAAAACAAAAGCAATGTTTCCTGGATAGGTGTGAGTGTAAATGAAGAAAAGATTAGAACTTACAATCCTTATGCCAAACATACAGAATATCTTGTTAGTTGAAATTTTTGATCTTTCTACAGGATATTGATGCAAATCAACGAACATTTGTTTTCGCGAAAAAATCGCAATACCATTTTTCTCTAGTTTTAATTTAGAAATTCAAATTTTTGAAGTTTCTCGAACTCTTCGAGACTCAATTCATACGGAAAAGAATGCCACAAAAAAATAAGTTAAAATCAATCATTTCTTGATTGAACTGATTAAAAAATGGAGTATCTTGTGAACGTTGTCGTCGGTGACAGAAAACTTTTCCAAAAATTGGCGACGGCAGCAGCGGCTCAGAGGAAGGTGCGGGTCTACGTTTTTGTGGACCCGGAACCGATCGGTTCCAGATCTGGGTCTAAGTCCGAGGTTCTTTCCATTAATATCTGGTACCTTTCGTGTACAAGAACACGTGAAGGATCAAGGTTTCAGTTAGTTATTCGCTACTTTCAGAATAAAACTCAATGTACAGTTATATCTTGTTGCTATATTTCTCATCTGGAGAGCAATGGGTCCACAAAAACATGTAGCCGAACCCAAGAAAAAATAAAATTATCAGCCCGAACCCACAGTTTCCTACAGCTCAGTCGCTTGGCTTATACCTCTATAAACAATCAAGCTTCGTCGAAGAAAAAAATTCACTGAAATGTCTTTCGCTGAATGGATATCATATCTTCTACAGCATACCAGGCCAACGATCATCAGATACGTTTCTATAGCAATCGAGAACACTAGGCGCCAAATCTCCTTAGCAACGAAAAAACGGTACTAAATAGCATTAACAACAATACTTAGATTATTCTAGAAAATACATTCCAAAGCCTTTCTCGAAATTTGAATGACTCAAATACATGTTTTTCAATGTTGTCAATAGCGCAGTGTACAGATAACTGATTGTATGATAGATATCAAGAATGGCAGCTAGTGATGTTTTGATTTGTTACAATCGTCATATTATTAGCATTAAAAGTATGAATTAATTAAGTTGTAGCTTTCGGAAATATTCAATACCAATGTTTTCGAGATGAATGATAGTACATTGAGATCTGCTATAGATTTGAATATGACAATGAATAGTAACCAGAAAGAATTTCTTGTTCAAAAATGCAGAAATAAACAAGACAGATAGTTTTCCTAACAATCGATTATCTTTGGAAAACAGCTATAGTCTGATAGAGTTTTTACTTTTCATATTTTCGTTCCAACAGATTTGCACTGATAAACTTCATAATATATGTTACTCAAATTTCTTTTTCTTTATTTCTTTTCTAAGAATATACTATCGGTGAATGGCATATTAATAATGAAACTGGTAAACGAGAACGTCAAGTAACATATAAAACAATAAATCATTCGTTTCTTGGTACTAATACAATTTCTTGTAATGAAAAACAAGTTTGTTTCTTTTTGAATTATTGAATTCAATAGATTTTTACGTAGAAAAAAAAATATAGATAATCGAAGCAGAAAAACCACATTTATTATACGTTATTCGTACAGATGTATATAATGAAGGAATGAAATATACGGATGCATTTTATGTTTCAACACAATTTTGTATGCTTCAACGTGATGCTGAACATTCTTCATTACGTGTTAGTGCTGAAATAAAATACATAAAAAATATTAATGTAATTGCTAAATGTAAGAGAGAATTTGTTTGTTTTTTTTTATTCGTAAAATATTTTGATCTTTCAGCATTTATTGACAAGCTTTCCAATGCATCACTTGAAGGTGGTATCAATAATTTAAGTAAATAGAAATTGTTTTTTTTTTTGATAAAAATATCAAATAATAATTGAAAAACTTCTTTTTCTTTTTGTATTACAGTTTGTAGACTGAAAACTCATCAACATAAAATAAATAATCGTGAATCAAATCGAAAGCAAACAACATCAATATTAAAACAACATCAACAACAAACGAAAGATTCTTGTACAAGTCAAGATGAAAAGAAAAATGATGTAATCTTAGATTCTTCACTTTCATCAGAAGATCAAATAATAACCAATGAACAAACGATTACTGAAAAAAATCTTCTATTTAAAATAATTTTCTTTTTTGGTATTTTTCTTCTAATTCTTCATACTTATCTATGTTATAAATTATATTCTATCGATCAAGCATTAAGTACTCCAAATCTTACATGTCTAAATCAATGTAAAACAGGTTTATTATTTTACTAATTGTTTACAAAAATGATATTTTTAATAATCCTTTGCTTGTTTTTTAATTTCAGCTTATCTAAAACATATATGTCGTCAATGAATAGATTTATATATCTTACAAGATATTTTATACATGTAATACAATTTAAAAAAAACAATGCCTATATTAATCAAAGAAGGATCTATAGACACAATATGTTTTTTTCCTTCTTTGTTGACATTATTGTAAAGGAGATGTGTCACATAACAGATCTTACGTTCTTAAAAATCTGAATCTAATATGATTAGCGTGATAATCAACATTGTAACTTGATTATTTTGTATTTTATCACGAGTCAGATATCGAAAATTTTTTTTTTATCGTCATATAGTTCGATAGCACTAAGTGTACTGATTAAAAATATTACATTTTTACAAAAGTACTAAAAAAAGTTGTTAGCACAACCCCTGCAGGATTAAAATGTGAAACATGATGCAACTGTTGTTACGAATTATGAGACTATTGTTTTATTCGATCTATCTTAAGATTCATTTCTTCATTATCTTTTACTTAATCCTCTAGAACTGCAAGAAGAAGACAATTCATACACTGTTATGAGATGTTAGTGATAGATAATCGCTAAGTGTGTATCAAAAACGTCTGTCACGGTCTCTGGAGGAGGAAGGGGAAGCCAAATTTCTACCACTATACACTTCAACACTCGATTTAGATCGTGTTTCACAAAATAATAAAGATTTGAAGTACTCTCTCCAAGCTCTAAAATCTAGTTTTTGACTCAAAAGTCCTATTTAAATTCGTCGAAAATAAGTTTATTTGATATCTGAAGAAAACCGTAAATGTAAAAAATAATTATGACTTAATGTTGATTGTCAAGTTGATAAAATTAGTTTTACATTTTTTGGAACAACTAGATCTGTAACTCGACACATCTCCTTTTTTAATCTTGTAGATTTTCCAGTAGTGAATACATTTTTTTTTCTAATACATATAATAAAAATCAGATTAAATTTTTACTTAGCGCCTATTGTTAACTTATTTCATTTTTGTTAATTTTTCATTAATGTTTAAAAAGTATGGGTCGTCGCAAATCAAAATTATCAACACTTCATTGGTTTTATAATATTATTGCTTTCATATTTGGTATTGTTCCACGATCACAATTAAATCATCGTATTTCAACGAAACGATATAATCGTAGAATTAATAATACACGATCAAATAAAAATATTAAGACATATACAAAACGAAAATATTTACAAATAGATACAAATCAAAACACGAATACAAAGACTAATAATGAATTCAATGATGTCTGTAAATCATCTGGTGCATCTGAGGTGAGATACGAAAATGATAAATTGATTGAGTTTCAATCTTAAATAAGGATTTGCAGCACTTTCAACATTTTTATCAGCCAATCATATTTCAGCAAAGGTTTTCTATTATTCACTCAGCAATTAGTATAGGATTATCCTAGCAAATCAGGTCGTATCATGGTTTTCTCGGAATTGAAAAAGAGAAAGTCACGCTGAATCTTGATTGACTAACGAATTCTACTGAGATCTGATTGGCTAAATGAATACTGTCCGACGAAGATTTCTCGACTCAAATAATTTTCGGTACCTTCTCTCTTCTCTATTTCGGTGGCCAGAATTATGAAATCAGTTCTTTCCCCTTACTTTTATCAATATTTAAAAGAACAAGCACTTGTCTTTTTTTCCACATAGTTAACAACAATACTCAATAATAATAATAATAATCGTAATCTTGAAAATCTAGTATATAATAATATGAATGCGAATCGATCATCGGATGATAATCAACAACGAATTCTATGTATTCAAGTAGAAAATAACGAAGCAGCCGAATCTATTCAACATTTATTAATGAAACATATATCGATTATTAACGATAGTCAAATTATTGATTTACAAGACCTTATACAATTTATTCGGTCAACAACAAATATAACTTATGAAGATGCTTCGACAAATACTGATCATATGTACAATCAAATAGTATCTTGTACTAGTTTTATTACACAAAATGAGAATGTATGTCGTTTGAAAGCATTAGAATACATTCGAATATATCTTGAAATGAATAAAGAAGAATTTTTCAATTATCTTATCAATGAAGAACATCTTTGCCAACAAAAAACATTGGCGATTTATCAAATGATAAAACAATTTCTTAAAGCTATATATCAATCAGAACATGAACAGAAACAAAATTTAAGATAAAAATCGCTTTTAGGTTAAAAAAAAAGAAAGAAAAATAATGTTATATATGATCTAGGAAAGTATTGAAGTGTTAGACATCTAATAGTTTAATGATGAAGTCATTTGAAATACTACTCTCGGTGCAAAAGCAAGTTGGTGTTATCTGAATAGCTTTCGAAAGAAACAAGATAGCAACCTGCGGTGTTCACTATTAGAAAGAGAAGAGTATTTTTTTTTATCAAAATATGTCATAATTTGAGTAGTCGGCTAGTAACCAATCAGATGAGTTCATGGTGAAGATTTGAAAACGATATTCGAAAGCCATTTCTCATTAAATTCTGACTTGTAATATAACCGTTCAGTAAAGAAAATTGTTTTTTTTATCTACGCAAGACCGAGCTCCATAGCTTGTTTCGCTCAGAAATTATTGGTATATTTCCCTAAGACCCCGGAAACTGACCAAATGACGTCCAATCACGTTACCATGGACCATGACATGGAAATCGATCACGCTGACTTCCGTGGTAACATTTGTTTTCAGTTTCAAAATTGTCTGAAGTTGCTTTTCTAGCATTTCCAATATTGCCACTCAACTATAGCAAGAAAATAATGCAATTCCGAAAATACTCCCATAACAGTCTCGGACAGATTCAAAACTGCAAACAAACATAACATTTCGACCCAGCGTGATGAATTATCTCGATCTTGACTTCTTTCAGGGCGTTCGAGGATCATTAGGCCAGACCAAAGGTCTCTGTCTTATTCCTATCGAAAATTATTCAGAAAACATTAACCTGCCTTATATTTTAGCGTCGATAATAATTATTCATTTTTCACTGCACGTTGTTCATTCTACACTTATTTATATGTTGTTACTATAGTATAATCATGTATGGAATGATTCTGACCTTTTCTTATAGTACCGTCTATATATTCACTTACTATCAATCGTCCTACTTTTTAAGTCGTGTTTTGTTGAGCTCACAAATCTTACGAAAGAAAATAGTGTTCAACTCTTTTCCTACCATACAAAGCCCGAGCTAAAGCGTGACGGTGATGATATTGATCAACAATTTTAACACCGCTGACAGTCATAGTAACACTGATAAAGGCGCTCCCAATAGGCTTTAGTAATCGGGATCTTTAGTTAGTGGGTTCGGTTCCATAATAACTAAGGACAACAGATTGTAACAAGAAGAAATTTCTATTTGAAATGCAGAAATAAATAAGACAGATTATTTCCGTGGCGATTGATCCACTTTGCGTGTATTCTGTATCAATATAACAAAGACACTGCAAGAATTAAGATATGTAATTGGTGTTGCTACGTAGAAACACCAATAATAACATCTTATAAAAGATAAATGACGACAAATGTCAATGTAAAACTTTAGACAGTTCTATTTTAATAGAAATCATATAAATCATTTAGACTTCTCTCAAATAATTCTTTGAAGTATGACCATACATTTCGAGGCATTAATCACAGTGATCGACATGGGCCAAATTTTTATGACACGACCCGAGCAATGATTTTTTCCTTTCTCTTGAGAAAATCAATTTCTTCTTTCTCTTTTTATGTATACAACATGTGACCTTTATATCATCATTGAATAGACAGTACATTCGTTATTGATTGTTGTCCGATATCAATAAAGAAAAATTCGGTGAAGTAGAAGAAAAGATCGTCCCGATGCATTACTTCTTGTTCGACTAAACGATGCCCGATAGATATATAGAACAGGTAACATTTTACCAATTGCCAATTCCCTTAACCTAACGGAAAGTGGTATTTCAATGAGTCGATCTGGAACTTCGATGCCATTAAATAGCCTATTTACAATGAATTGCGATTAGTAAAATTCGCAGAATTTCGAACGGTTCATATTCCGGTTATTCTAATTTTCTTTTAAATTTCAAAATATTTTTGTATAATAAGAAATTTGAACAATCGTATTAACTATCACGAAATTGAATTGAATATAAAATTTTAATTTTAGACAGACTTTTATTTCATTAGAAAATATATTATGACTTGAATTTTTTTTGCTTAATATATAATTTTGATGTTTTTTTCCTAAAAAGAACATGTGAATAGATGACTTAATTTACTTGAATAGAAAAAAAAAATAGTTAAGAAATGTTGCATTCAGAATAACGACAAAATTTCATTCAACTGATCTAATATTTAAAATTAGAATAGTTAATTATTTCAAACGTTCTTCGCTAGTGAGTAATCAAAAAAAAAATCATTGTGCTTGCAAGAACTTGAAGTCAAACAACCAATGGAAAATAAACGACAGAAGTCAAAATGAATGACGAAAACTTAATATCATCTTTTAGAGTTAATACATTATATTTAATGGCATAGCCAGAATTTTGAAAGTGAAGGGAATCTATTGGTAGGGGAGCTTGTAATAGAATTTACCTCGAGTGGTTTCGACCGATGGAGGAGGGTTCAACTTCTCTCTTGGCCACGCCACTAGTTACATTTTTTTTCTAAAACGAAAAGCAGGTCTTGAAGTTGTGAGTCGGGAACTGCAAAATCGACTGTTTCTAAAATCAAGCAATTTTTTTGAAAAATAATGTACATGAATGATTTTGACTCGTTGATAATTCGAGCATTACGTTATATGCAAGTATTAGACGTAGGGATATACAAAACTAGTCTTTTTTTCTCAGGCAACAATCTCTTTGAGACGAGTCGAGTTTGAAGTTTTATCATAGGAAGATGTACCGAAGTGTCCTCTTTCAGAATATCTATGGTTTTTCGAAAAATGAATTGATTTTGACGAACTTATCGTCTAAAACTTGGCTCCTACTATCATATTTTTCGAGAAATTTTCACGTTTTTTTCTACAAGCTTTTTCGACTTTTCAGGCTGCTTTCTTTTCGCATCAGCATTTCGTAAAGTTTTATTTTATACTAATCACTAAGAGACTATGAACACTTAATATAAAGATGACAAATTTATAGCCTGTCCTGAACATTGATATATAAATCACGTGATTTTCGAAAAAATCGATTTCTAATACTTATTTTTCATTTTTCTTAAAATCGATTTTTTCAAGAATACTGTTTACCCGGGCAAGGTTTTTTTTAATAATGACTCAGTAAAGAAGTGATATTTTTTTTTAATACATAGTAGACAAGTAGGGCTAGATCCGATTTTTGAATTTCTCTTTTGGTGAAATAAAAAACTTGGATATTTTATTTTTGTTAGCAATTTTTTTTTTGGGCATGATTTCGCGAATTTTACGAAAAAGGCTTTTTAAAAAACAAACAAAGGAAAATTCAAAAATTGGGCCCTATGAGGATCTAGCCCTAAGAGTACTCTACAACTTGAAAACCGCTTGGACTTGTTAGCTCGTATCCTTATTGTGAAATCCTTGCCCACGTAAAGGATAATGAATTGAGTAGAATTTGTGCATTTCTTTGAGATTTGGGGAAGATATTTTAACCATAAGCTATTCTTGTCAAGGCTAACATTCTCTAAAATTTTGGTTGAAATCGGATGAAAAATAACAAAGTTCGTTTCTGAAGACCCCCTCTCCCCACTTAAAGCATGATTAAGAAGAAATTTATTTTTCAAAAAAAAACATCTTAAAAATCTGTTCAAAGTGAAAAATTATCAAAAAATATATTATTAAAAAATTACTCTAAAGTATTTAATTTTTATCATTAGATTTTGTTCGATACATCATTATATCCCATGATGGTCTATTTGGATTTCTTGATTTAACTTCTATTCGATCAGGTTCAAGTAATTGTTGACGACCATCCAATACATCAATAGCTAAACGTGCAAGATGTAATGTTATAGCTACAGGATGTTTCTCTGGTGAATTAGCCCATTCATCAAGTGACATCCATTTACAAGCAGCTATTTCATGTGGATCATAATTTATTTTTTGTTCTTCTTCATTTTCATCAAGTGACATTAAACAACCAAAATAAACATCACCATGTCCAAAACGAAATTCTTCTTTATATGTAAATCCAAGTATACCGCGAAAATGAGCATGAATACCTGTTTCTTCAAATACTTCACGTTCAACACCCTTTTCTATTGATTCACCTAAACAAGATTTATATCTATATTTAAATATAATATGAAAATTATTGGTTTTTTGTTTTTGATCGATTACCTATATCAAGACATCCACCAGGTAATTTGAAATAATCATCAACATAAGCAAATCGTTCTTGTATAAGTAATACTTGACGTTTTTTATTTACAACAAGACCACCAACACCAATTGTCGACATAGCATATGAAGGTAATTGATTTGGTTCTTCTTCATCAAGCCAATGTGATAACATAACATAATCAGGTTTAGCATGATGAAGAACAAAACCAAGTTTTTGTGCAATTGGAATGAGTTCTGTTCGATCATGTGGTATTGAAAGCCATATTCCTCTTCGTTTTGCTTGACGCCATGCTACTAATGATTGTTCTAATTGACGTTCAAATAGAGCTGGTGTTTTAGCTAAAAGAGTTTTATCAACAGTAACACCTGAATAAATATCACCAGGACCAGTTAATAATGTTACTTGATCACATTCTTGATTTTGAGTAGTAGTCATTCGTGTGAATTTTTTTGTCAGTAAATTTAATGGTAATATTTATGTGAAAATGTAATATAAAATAAATAATCTGTAGTGATTAGATATAATAACCAATAAAAAGTATAAGATGAATAGACATATAGCGACAAATAGAGGGAACAATCGGACGTAAATTTAATTTGAAAAATAAAATATTTCAATATTTAGAATATACTCTTTTATTATTGAAAATCGTTCATCGATATTTTAGTTCTGTTTGCATAATCTTGAATTTGATTATCATATTGAGGATTTATGAATTGTAATCATCTGCAGAAAATAGAATATTCAAGTTTATAAAAGAAGAAACTTTTTCATATTCTTCATTCGATATGTAGAAGGTGAGGTGATCATACTGATCCATTTGCACAGCACGCATTTTGATGGTGTTCATTTCGATAATTTCATTTTCAGCAATGAAGTATACAACTTTTTAATACAATCAATCATCATATTTGATGATATCATTACTAGCAATTTCAACTATTACACATTTCAAAATAAAATAGACTCGGTTGTTTGTTAAATAAATCGGCAATGTGGATAGCTATCGAACTCGGGTTTTCACCGTTAGAAAGAGGATGACTGAAAGTACAAGTTTATCTGAAAATTAAAATACTTGAGAAGTTTTCTAGAGAATTTCAAGAAGTTTTTGGAAAAACTATTGTTTGATTTCTTAGATTAAGTATATTTTCAAACGAATCAGATAGTGATTTTCCAGAAAATCCCTGGAATTCTCTAGAAAATTTATCAAGTATTTTGATTTTCAGCGATAGACTTGTACCCTCTCTCATCTTCTTTCTAACAGTGAAAATCCAAGCGCGATAGCTATTAGCATTACCGAGTTATTCAACAAACAACCGGGTCCATTTTATTTTGAAAGGAATAATAGTATTAAATTATTATGTGACTAATATTAAATCGTTCTTCTAATTTTCTTTCATATAGATATGTACTTTTTAGTAATAATTATGACCGGTAAGAAAAGTATGTTATTCAACACGGTAATATCTTCGCAAAGATCTAATTTAGAGAAACAACAAAAAAAAATAAAGTTTAATGACAAAGCAAGAGAAATAAATACATGTAGTTGCTAAAAATGATTTACTTTATACATTATAATAAATTATTCTTTGGGTGTGAGTGTGAGTGTCGCTAACTTGCCTATTAATCCGTAGTTTTTTTTTTCCTGTCAGACATTTTTGAATCGCCAGCTGTAGTATGATTTCACCTTAGAAGATGTATAGGATTTTAGAATCTCATTTTATTTGAATAATTAATGGAACTGATTGACTTACTAATTTGCAATAGACTGTTCTGAAGTTCTAGAATAGATCTCACACACATTTCTCACGATCATTTAGTTTGATTGTTTTAAAAATGTCTTTAAAATGTGATTTGATATATCAAATTCTACTTCATTGAGGAGAATATAGATGGTTTAAAATGAAGTCTAGTTAATCAATTAGCTTAATAGTTCTTCTCAAACACTGTTGAATAGGATATAAACATTTTCCAATCAATGTTTATTGCTAAAAAAGTTTGTTAATTGGTTGAATCCACAAGACTCATATCACTTTCTCAGAAGAAATCTCGAAGACAACATGAAAGGCATCTTGTTTTATAGATATCAAGAAATTATGAGACTAGGATGCACATGTACGCATAATTTCCTATCAAAAACTTGTGTTTTCTTTAGCACAACCCAGGAAAGCTCACTCGGAATGTGCATTTCTCTAGTATTTTGACGACATCTTGAAGCTGATCGTACGGAATTCCGTTTTTGTGTTCTATGAACTTTTCATATCATCTTTGAATTGTGAAACAGGCTATTAACAATAAGCTTTGCATATTTTTAATGAAGAGGTGATCTCCGTAAGGAAAAGCATTGTTTTTCAAAAAGTGATAAAGATCCTATAAATTTACTCTATCGTTATTCACAAAACGAACTCTCCTCATGGATATCATTTGTTGTGTCATTTAATTGTCGATTTCCTATTATAAAGAAAATTAGTAAAACATGGGATGAGCTAAAGCTTTACTCTGGTACTCTCGTCTTTCGAGTCGACTGTCACATTAGTTCTGACTCTCGGCATAATACTAGAGTTTTAAAGACAGTTCGCTAAATAACTGTCTGTATTGTCAGTGGAATATTTTCTTTTTTTGATTTAGACTGAGATATTTTTAATGTAGTACTTACTCCAACTATACTCAAATATGAAAAGTACGAGCCGACATTGCAATGAGATACAAACTTTAATACCCTAAACGAGTGCCTTTAGCATCTTGAAATGATTCAATCGAGAATTCTATTGTTTGAGCTCGTAGGTGTTTGAAAATTTAGAGGTCATAACTTAAAATATTTGATCATGCTTCATTATACTACAATATAAGTCTCAGTTATATGACTTATCTCACATTAAGCTGTATCACTACACTGTTCAGATAAACCACATACTCTATGTGCAAGTGCGTGTTTTATGATTTCTTCTTCATCCATATGCACAGATCGGCATCCATAGTAACACCCACATCCACATTCTCGTTTATTACTTGTTGGAATTCAGAAGAACTTCACATGATTATTGTTCTCTTGCACAAAATAAATATTCTATTTACTTTCCAATGTTCCATTTGTAGATTTTTATTACATCATCAGTTATTACCGATTTGTCATAGTTAGTGGTTGCAGTAGAATAAGAATTCATCAGAGATTACATGAAGCCAATCAAGTGATATTATTTGAAATATGACATAGTTTCTTTGTAATATATTCAAACAAAATTTTGTTTTCGATTGCAAATGTCAAATTAAATGTTTTATTAAACTATCTGCAATTCAGTCTCTTATACATTAGATCAATTATTCCTATATCATACGAACGCCTTCATTGTTATGAACAGCAGAATGTATAATGAAAAATTCTTTCGAATAAACAAAGGATTCAGTCTATACAATATCCATACGACCTTATATCAAAAAATTAATACAGAACTTTTGCTTCATTTATTAATAATTATCAATCACAAAAAAACAACTCAGTAACACATACTCAATGAATTGTTATGTCTTATCATAATCATACAGACAATCAATTAGTTCGAATGGTTGGTCGATTTTTTACAAGTTATACAGCTGTGTTCAAAAAAACTTGCATAAAATTCTTTTTTAATCTTAGAATCTTTTTCCTATGACTCGAAGCAACTATAAGCGTCAT